TAGAGTGTGTGTGTGTGTGTATATATATATATATATATATATATATATATAGTCAACTCTCCCGTCAAATACAACGTATGAGGGTCAAGCAGATTAGTTTCCAGGAGACCGACAGCCCGACAACAGCACATGAGATTTGATTATAGCGGTCAAGGTTTCATGCAAGACCAGCCACACTTTTTGAAGGGTCGAATTCAGAGACCTGGTGCACTAAGTGCCACAAGGTCCCCAAATGACCCTCTGCAGGTTTTGAATTTAGAGTTGTCCTTCTCCTAGACCAGTTGTCATCCAAGCCTATAGAACCCAGCCTGTCCTGCTATTTTACCCATAGCTGGAGGGAGAAGAAGAGGATTCACACCTTTCCCAAGGGTATTAGCACGTAAGCGAATGTAATGGAATCAACTGGAATTTGAACTCAGCTCTCCGATTCCTCAATCCAAGCAGCTATCCATTACTCCACCGTGCCTCATCCGTATATTATATATATATATAATACCAATTGGTAGGGATAATTCCAAAGAATTTCTTTCACAATTTCTCTTTCTCCCTCTCTTTACCCAATTTTTTTTTAATGTTATATTGAAATTTTTCTTTTTCTTTCTTTCTTTTTTTTTTAATATAAAAACTTTTCCCTTTTTTTCCTCTTCTTTTTTTTCTATCGTCTGGATGGATTGATTTCATCTCTAAAAAAAACCTTCACTCTGAAGAGTTGAATATTTAAATATATTCATGAAATAAATAAATAACCAAGATATTATTATACAAAAGATAGACTGTAACTGCCACTTGATGCTTATAGACACATGTTCAAGAGGAGGTAGTGCATTAACATTCCAACTATGAATGTCAAACTCAAATTTCACTAGGGTCAATTAGTCAAGGAGGTGATTTCTTTACAATACTAGCCTGGAGATACAATTCCAGAATGCTGTGTCCACAGGTTGATCAAAGTTTTGTGAGTGAAATTTGGTAGATAAAACTGCTCAGAATCTGTCAATGGTTTTTGCTGGCATGCCACCTAGTAAGCAGATAGAAGCTTTTTAGCTTTCCTGGGCAATCTATCAAGATGTATCAGCCTGAAAAACACACAATGTTTAGAAGCCAATGATGGGTGTGCTAGTACATAGTCATAAATCCTCAACTAATGAGCAGATAGAAATTCTTTAACCTTGGTTGGCAATCTATCTAGAGGTGTCCCAATAAAAACATCTATCCCCTAGCAGCCTGCCCATTTCACTAAAGAAAAAAAAACAAAAAAACTCAGTGATATAAATTCTTAAAAAGAAACAAGTCACATGAGTTTGCAATTTGCCATAGATGGAAATAGCACATGATGTTTAGTAACATAAATTTTCCAAATATACACTAGAGAAGAAAAGGCATTGGTTATTAGATTTTTAGCCCCTTACTCCAAAAGTAAAGAAATTACTCTGGTTTATATTACAACTGGTTTCTCAGGTACTATAGATTACAATAAATAAATTTTGATAAAAAATTTTTTCTTATACAAATATTTGTATCAAATTCAGTTTTCTTTTCTAAGTTCCAAATATGGCTTTTCTGTCAATAATGTAAGAGTTTAAAGCAAAAACAATGTTTTCTTAAATCATTGATACAGCATTTGCTTCTATCTCTTTTAAAAAAAAGTCAAATAAAAAAAAAAAAAAAAAAAAAAAGAAAATCAAGAAAAAAAGCAGGTGCCATGAATGAAGTTCCAGTAACATTTAATGTAAGATCCAATAAATTTTCTTTTTAATATTTCCTGTTGAAATGGAACACGTCTTATATGCCATTAATCATAGTAACTCTGTCTTCTTTCATAGAAAAAGTAAAGGATCATTGTTAACCCCCTTGTTAAAGGATTATTGTTTTTAACCCCTTGTTAATATTGTTGGGCATTGTTACAGCATTCATATCATCGGATGTTCAAACATCCCATTGAAAATACAGATATATTATCAAGTTTTTAATTTTCGTGTCATATATTGTTTTGAGTATTCTGTTTTTTTCTACGATAAATAAACTGAATTAAAAAATCATATTTAAAAATGAATTTGTAAGTTTCAAAATAACCAAAAATAGGTTTAATTTTTTTCACTTTATTTCAGTAAACAAATTGCTTGTAATTCACAAATATTATGACTAAAACCAGAAATTTCTTTGTAATAATTTGATAGAAGTATTCAGAAAACTAATTAACCAATCATGAAAACTTGACTTGCCATTTGCTAATCATTAAAGAAAAGCAGGTTGTGGGATGTTCAAACATTCCATGGTACTAATGGAGGGTTAATGGCATTAATATATTGAAATAGCCAAGTGTTCATGAAATGTATTTGTATTGCTAAAAGATTTCTCAGTAGATTTTGTACATTATAGTCATAAACAAGTATTATATCACCATATAAATATGTTAACTTATACTATTACCTAGCAGTACCAATGAAAATTTCATGGTTTTGCTATCTGATTTCTCTGGTGAATCATAATTCATAAGTTAATGATTGAATAAACTCTTTGTAAGTTTCAGGACTATAAAATACCTATGGAAATTCCTTTATTGCATCATTAAATATTTGAGTTTAACAACTTTAACAAAATATTTCAGTAACAATCATAAGTATGAATGCAAGTCATTATTCAAAGTATGAAGGTACAGATGAAAAGATTTAAAACTAAGTTTTTCCATTTCATTGAAGCAGACATTAAACACACGAGAGAATTATTCCTTCTTCTTTCTTTCTTTTTGCTAGATATTATATATGCTTTCTTTTTCCCACTAAAACCAAACAGGCTATCTGATATTTTTTTTGTCTTTCTTTGTAATCAAAATGGAATGGTCTATTGTTTGTCTAAGATAATGGCAGAGCATACTTCACATGTTACCTAATTTACTAAATAACAAAAGGAACAAACAGAATTACAATATGACAATCAGATCAGTAAGTTGCACTCCGAGCGGACTTTTAAACTAGCACCTGGGAAGGGTAAATTTGATCTCTGTATAAAACTTAAAGAGACCAGCTTAGAAAACAGTAATGATGATTTTGAATAAATCACTATGAATTCCTCAATTCACTCCATAGAACTTCAAAACGTCACTTTAATTCTGATTCAGGCTATGTCCAATTCTGGCCAAAAGACTGATTTGGGTGAAGATTCCAATTCAGGCTGAAAAATGAGTTCTTTAAATCACAAACATCATGGAACTTCAAAACTTCATGTCATGAAACCTCTTGCTTTAACTCTGATTCCTTGGCATTTTGAAGAAATAAAATTGAGGAAGGGCAGATTTTCAATCCCAGGATCATCCGGATTCCAAAAAGGTCTATGTAAAGCATATATGGCCTGAGTTAGAGGGATTTCAGACACATGGACAGACAGACATAATTTGCCATTTATTTATTTAGATTATTATGAGATATTAGTATCATTATATAATTCTAAATTGTGTATCTATCCTTTATATAAGAAAATACATTCTATTGTCAGTGTCAGAGAACTAACTTCAAAGCTGTCCATGTAGAAAGTTATGCAAAGATTTTCAAGGATATACTGAATTGCATCTTGTCTCTGTCGATGACAAACTCCAGTCACTAAGGTATGTCATTGAAAGACAAATTTTAACAACAGGAACACACATTGATCTTATCTGTTACCAATGCATTTATCCAGTAGTATTTATTTATGTTATGAAAGAGTTGGTCATAAATAAGCATATTAATGTAAGCAAAATGATGTGACACTTCTTCAGCATAATATTAATCAAATAATAATTAAAACAACATATAACGGAATAAAAATGGAAGAATGGGTTGTATAAACATGTTTTAGTCTCCTTATAATTATATACAGTTTCATTCATTTATATACACACACACATTTGGTGGGAAATTTCCCAAAAGGCATTTCAAGGAATTTTGCAATTGCAAGTGGAATAGCATGCATTTCATAAGCTCTTTTGAAACTGAGAATTTGCAGAAGAAAATTTGATTGTTTAGAAACAAATTTCTAAATTCCAAGTAAAAAAAAGTTTCAGTTATTTTTTTTTTCTTCAACAATTACCATTAAAATGAAGAGTCAATATTTAAGTTATGTTATAGTGAGAAAAAAAAAAGAAGTTTTTGTTTTAAATTAGAAAATTAATATATTTTCATGCTGCAAACAAGCCACCCAAAATTCAAATTAATAGTAAAAATTAATTTTAAACATTTTTTGAGGGAGTAAACCTGATAATTCTGTTATAATTTTCTTTTATAAATGAACTTTATCACTTAATAGATGAGAGGAATTTGAAAATTCTGAATAATGTTTCTGAAACCTATTTAAATTTAATTTTCACTGCTAATTTTATTTTTGATGCACATGTTTATCTTACACTTCAATGGCATTCTGAAAAGTTTTTTTTTTTTTTGCGAAATAACAATGTTTGAACATTGACAAAGTTTTTAAAACCTGGGAAAAATAGAAATTACCCAGATGTATGATTTTTCTTTTTCTGTGTAATATTTTTGTTAATAGTTCAAGCAAACATGTACACAGCAAGAATAATACAAACTGTGTTCATTTTTAAAGTAATCTTTCCTTTTTTCTTCTCTATCTTTTGTTTTAGTTGTCCATTGATGATAACTAAGAAATACCCGGAATATTGTTTTATCATTACTATTATTTTAAATTCTTTCTTTTTTTTGTCTTTCCTTTAAAAAAAAAAAGAAAGAAAAAATGTTTTTTGTTGAAGATATCAAAGGCCAAATATACACAGAAAGAGAGAGAGAAATAGAGTATAATAGAAAGAGATAGGGGTAAAAAAAAAAAAAAAAAAAAAAAAAGAAGCAAAAACAAAAAAACCAAAAAGCCTTTAAATCATGTAGTTTAACCAAAGGTAAACCAAGTAGAGAGAATAGAAAAAAGAAAATTCTGGAGTTGAAGGTAGAGGGCAGTTAAGTCTTACGCTACTGTAGCTAGGACGATCAGTACGAAGACAGGAACTTGACTGAACATCACACTTTGCTGAATTTGAGACCAGCTGAAAAGTAATTATAAAATAGTTTGTTCAGATTTTCAGAGTAACACAGGCAAATAAAACAAAGTCATTACAGCAAAAAGGAAAATGTATAAATTTATATTATATATCTCTTTCATATACAGAGGAATGTGTATGAGTGTATGCGAGAGAGAGAGAGAGATGAGGCTAGTACTTAATCAAAGCTACCTACATTGAATTCAATAAAATTGAATGTCACCAAATTTTGTGAAAGGTTTCTTTGCTTTAAATGAGGTTAAAAAAAAAAAAAAAAAAAAAAAAAGTTACACTCAGATAACCCATGAAGTCATATTTCCAAAACTAACATTTTATTACATTTGTGTTTGGGTTTTTATCAGTTTAAACTTCATGCCTAACTAAAGTAATTTTTCTCTAAGACAATGTTTTCCCCACTCCATAAACATTCTTTGAGAATTTTGGCTTAAGCTAAAGTTTACAATACACACACGCAAAAAAAATAGGAAAAAAAAAAATTATAGAAATTCATTTTTTATATTTTAGACAGAGTATTCTTGTCAAAGGATGGGACCTCCTAACTACTGTATAATAAAATGGATACCCCCACCAAACCAACTAATGTGTAATAAAGATAAAAACTTGTAGAAATTAAAATTCTAAAAGAATTTTATTTAAATAGTTACTCTTAGGTGCCTAATACAAAGGGAGGGGTTTTAATAATCAGGAATCAACTAAAGTGCAAACTTAATAAATGGGTGGTCTAAATAAGCTCAGTGGGGAGATCAGAAATTTTCTTAAAAAAAAACCAAAAAAACAACCAAACTAAATATCCCCCACTACTCCTGTCTATGAGGAACCCAATAGTAGCAAGCAGTTTTTCCAGATCATCGAAGAACAAGCCAGATATGCTTTCTCTTCTGGAGAAGGGGTGGGGTAGGTGTAGGAATATTTTATCCAAAAGCTCAAATCACAGAATTTCACATAAAATCTAAAATAGATTCCATTTCTAAGAGAATAAATCACATGTGTGAGCAGCTTATTTTAGCCTTATCTCTTGAATCCTATTTTTGGGTCAGTGCGCATTAATGAGTCATAGACAGAACCTGCAATTAATAACAATCATTTGTTTCAAACCTATAATTAATACCGAATTTTTATTTTTATAATTAATATTGAATGTTATAATAGGCTTTAATGTTAAAATATTTCCACAGAACTAGTACAGTTCAGAAATTAAATGGCGTAAACTAATGACTTGTATATTTTAAGAATCCTGTTACAAGTAAATGTTTCAATTATACAAGAGTAAGAAATGGTTTGCTTTATTGACTGGCATAAACTAGTGTTTTTATTTTTTTACTTTTACAAAGTTAATCAAACTGGGGTGTTTTAAGTGTCAGATATTATAAGACTTCAGCAAAAGCTAACAAACATACCAGCAAAAAAAAAAAAAAGAAAAAAAAAAGTCAATTTTCAAAAAAAAAAAGGAAATGAATAACTCTAGTTTCATATGTTTGGAACTTAGTAAAATACTAAAAATAACTTTTTAAAGCAATAAAACTTGTTGTATACAGTAATAGTGATGTCAACAGAAAAACTGTCCTTTTGAAACACCGTTTTATTTTTTTTGCAGGTATGTTTGTTAAACTTTTCCAAAACTGTTTTTGAGTGAAAGTCTCCAATATTAAGTGTAAATGCATTATCTATGGCACATTCTTTTTTTTGTCTAGCCTAGTGAGTAATTCATCTATTAGATTATCAAATGAGAATAACAATATTGAGATTATATTCATGCAAATATTAATGTCACAAGAAATTTTCTTTCATATAAATGCATGTAGCAAACAAGCTACTCTTAAGAAATCAGGTCTTATAGAAAAATGCATCTATGCCATAAACCAAGGTTGACCAACCAATTGTGCATTACATGATGAGATGCATTACATTCCAATAATTTGTCTGTCTGTCAGTTTACACTTGTATGCAACAGAGTTGTGCTTTATTTATACTTTAGTATAAGTATTTTTTTTTAAAATAAAAAGTATAAACATTCTATATCTATACAATTTATCAATCATTTTTTCCAAACTCTGAATAACTTTCTCAATGTTAAATACTGAAGATGCAAAAAATATCCAAAATCAAGGCTATGTCCAAGCTTTCTACTCATATGAGTTATCTTCAGTGGGGTGAGAAATATGTTTTATATAGGTTACACAACAACCACTCTTTCACACAGACTTACAAGAACTATAATAATATTAGACAGCTTATCTCCTCTAATACTAAAATATACCATAAATACAATAAAAAAAAAAAAAAGACTAAAAGATTATCAATTCCATTTACACCTAACAAAAGCAACTGCTCATTAATAAAAATAATTAGTCTCCCATCCTGTTTTCTTCAATATATATATATATATATTTAAAAAAAAAAAAAAAAAAAAAAAAAAAAAGAAATACCCTTCCTTCAGTTTACTTTACTCTTACCTCATTGAAGCTGACTGATGCAAGTTGAAAATTCGGTCACAGCCTTGATTTTTGGATAATTATTGCATCTGCAGCATCTAGGTTTGTGGAAGGTTATTTGCAGTTTGGAAAAGACAACTGATAAATGGAATTAACATAGAATGTCTATCCTTTTTAATAAAACTCATTCATTCTTTGTGAATAATTAGTTTGTTTTTCTTTGAAAATTTTCCTTTTTAAAATTAAGTTTTCCATCATATTCCAAAAGAAAATGAAAGAAAAATCGAAAAATCATAGTAAATGTGAATTCATTGAACAATGGGGGAAAGAATGAGAAATCAGCATATTTTCATTTAGAACAATCCGCCCACCCACAAAGAAAAAAATAAAAAATAAAATGAAGAGGCTTAGTAGAAGTTGTTTTGAGAATAAATTCATGATTAAAAATAAAACTGGATGAGCTCCCCTTCAATCCCAAGTATCCTTTATTCAAAATTCTTGGGACAGGAAGTTCTTCAGTTTTCAGATATTTTTGGATTTTGGAATACAGTCTATTTAATTTGTATATAGCATCTATAAAATGAGGCAGCTTGGGAATAGAACCCAAGCATAAACATGATATTCTTTTACATTTCATAAAACTGCTTATACATATACTCTAAAGGTAGTTTTATATAAATAAGATATACCCTGAATGTAATTTTGTATAAAATTTAATAAATTTTGTGTACATACAGATACAGGTAATGACACTAGTCATTACCTGTATCTGTATGTACACATGGATGTTTAAATGGTGAAATTAAGATTACATGTAAAAATGTTTTGTACTTTCTGTACATATACAAAAAACATGATCACTACTTACAAAAAATATGTAAATGCAACACTAACCACTACTTCTACATCAGGTGTGAGGAACTGGAGGGAGAGAGTAGTTTTTCCAACAGTTTGACTTTCTGTGATATTGATGAACATAAATGCTTTCTTTTTTTCTTTTCATTACCCATATGGATACCTGCAGGACTTTTTAACATTTTGAATAATATCTTTAATGAGCACAAAACATCTGCTAAGTAATCCACGAACGAAAGTGTAGCTGTGACAATCACTAACAAAAAACTGGCATCAATGTAAGCTACACAGCTGGGCTGGGGAATCCCCACTCAGGACAGATGAGGTCATTTACAACAGCTTCACATCACCTACAAGACTTCCAAGTGCTTTCTGAATTTCCCATTTGTGGCAAGTCAGCATCTGGAGGATTTCGGATAAAGGATACACAACCTGTTTTAATTTTTGATGATGTGAACATTTTTCAGAAAATTAACATTTTTGAAATTATATCTGCTGGTTCAGAATAATATTAGATCTTCAGTTATGAAAATTAAATTACAATTGATTGATCAAAATCTAAAGAATTCTCTACCATTCTCATTAACTAATTTAACTACAAATATTAAAACAAAACAAAAAATCTTGTAAAAAAAAAATATTTATATAAATATATTAGGTATTTTTTTATAATTTATTTAAGATAAAAACAAGATTAGTACTTTTTTCCTAATTTTTTCAGTCTTTGATATTTTTTTTGTCAAGACAAAAAAAAAATTTTTTTAAATTCAAAGACTGAAAAAATTAGGAAAATAATACTAATCTTGTTTTTATCTTAAATAAATTATATAAAAATACCTAATATATTTATATAAATATTTTTTTTTTTTTACTCATTTGAGTCCTATTGGTAACTACAACCCAGTACAACTGCCACATAGATGGATAGTTGGCATTTAAAATCAGATTCCCCAATAGCTTTTCTGCTAGTGAGGTGTGTGGTATATCACCCCACAGGACAAAAAACAAGAGTTGTTAAAGGGTGAATGAACTTTTTATAGGCGCCAACAGCTTATATATATATATATATATATATATATGAAACTAGGATGGTGTCTCACATTTCAACCTTCCTAGAGGGTGATATCTTGATAAAAACACTCAGTATACTTGGACTACTATGAGTGTCTGAGTTTGGTGTAAGGAAGTGCATTAGGTCTTGTAAAACCTTGCCTCAAATCATTATGATAAATCCTTTGCTTTGTGTGAGATTAATCCCGGCCCTGCTTTAACAAAAATCATGGCTATGGGTATTTATGTATGTATTTCACCCCAAGCAAGACAATAATACTAATAAGATACAAGCAATTACTAAGAGTGAAAGAAACTGAGAAAACATTGAACAGAAAGGACAATAAAAGAACATGATAAAAATAGATGGAGATTGACATTGGATTTTAATTTTTGAAGATCGTAGTTCACCAGAAAGCAAGAGTTATCCACAGTTTTATACATTTACACATTAACATAATGTACAATATAACATAATTATTAATATAATGTAAAATGAATATGACATTATTATACATTATATTAATGTAAAATGAATATGACATTATTATACATTATATTAATGTAAAATTAATATGACATTATTATACATTATATTAATGTACAATTAATATGACATTATTATACATTATATTAATGTACAATTAA